GGTAGGTCGTTTCCGTTTTCGCCCAGGGTCACCGCCTCCTCCGCCGCCGCCGTCACCCCCAAAAAGGTATCCGTCGCCCGTGTGGTCCTCGCCGCCGCTGTCTTCAGCTCCGTCGCCGTCGTCGGGATCATCATCTCCTGGCCCTCCGCCTCCTCCTGGTCCTGCGCCTGGCCCCCCAACAGCTCCTGGTGGAAAGTCGGCCATGCCGAACCTGATGTGCGGAAGATGCTGTACAGTATAAGTGCGTTCCAGGGCAATGCGCCTCGCGCTCCTGAATGCACGGCGGTGGGCCTTAGCCCTGCCGCCAACCTTCAAAACTGACGATGCAATGCCCCAGTAGTTCTCGATTGGCTCGCTCATTGAACTCGCGAAGCTTTCCGCATCCTCTAAGTTTACATCCAACCTCAGACTCGACGCAATCCAGGGGAATGTCGCCCTCCGTGCCCTCTTGTGCTGGTGTGACGCTATCGAGTGTGTGTGTGTGTGTGTGTGTGTGTGTGTGTGTGTGTGTGTGTGTGTGTGTGTGTGTGTGTGTGTGTGTGTGTGGGGGGGGGGGGGGGGGGGGGCCTTCCGCTACCGCATCGTCGAGGGGGGCAGGACGAAGAGCATGCACTTCATACTCGAGCTCGTCACTCATGTTACTTCCATCTTGGGCCATTGCATCGACAGCTGCGCGCAATCTCGATCCTACTTTCAAGAAGCGAAGCGTGACCTCATCATGAGCAGCCTCTGGGAAAGAGTTAAACAGCAGCAACGCGCCTGTCTCTGACTCCTGGCGCGTGAAGGCGAGCGAGAACATATGGCAAGTCGTTCAGAAACTTCACTTTGAGCTTTCCCAGGGCGAATGTGCTACGAACCATGCCTCGAGCATCTCTGAGTAGAGTTGGATATGGCCCGAACTTCCCCTCAGCCCACGAGTTCGCCTCCTGCAGCCCGTCCCTGAAGGCCGCCATGCTAAAGTCATGCGCGTGCCCGAGAACACAACCTGTTTGTTTGCATTTGAACGGCACGCCTGTGTTCCATGTTTCTTGGTGGCATGAACAACAGCTCGCGAACCTCGTGAGCCCATGGAGCCAATCAGCAAACCATAAAATGAATCCGAACTGATGCTTAAACGCCCTGCCCCCGGACGCACTGAAGACCTTAGTTAAACGCGTTTTGTCCCTGATGCCCCCAAGGGCAGCCCTGTCAAGATTCCCAGCCACTGACCATATGAAGCCATATAGCCCATGAAGACACTTACGCATTGTCGCCCATCGCCATTCGGTGAACGACTCCAGAGAGAGATCCTTCGTGAGCTCGGCAATGCCAGCTTGGCCTCGTTGCCTCCAGTAAACCCCCAGCGCGTACCGAACCCCCCGGGAAACAAGGTTTCGAACCACACGCAAAGGCATCGCCGCCCCACCGTCTCCAAAAGGTTCCTGTTACTCACCGCTGTCCATGTAACATCCACGTGTCCCTCCTGCCTCCTCGAACCTGCTATGATGATTTCTCACGTGTGCCATCCGTCCTCCATCCACCCACCAGAGACTGCACGTGCGCTTCCCTCAACCTCGGTCCTTCTGCCCTCCGTGTCCCGCTGTGCTGGCATTTGTGTGTTTTGATGTTTTGCGATGTGTTGTTGCGTGTTCTGGTTTGAGCGTTGCGATGTTTATATTCAGTTGGTGTGTGCGGCGACGCCTTTGCATGCATTTACGAACCACGGCCTCGTCACGAAACAGAGAGATTCATAGCCTTGACCCTCGCGATGAACTCAGGAAACCAAGGTGCCGAACAACGCCCACGCCGAATCAAGAGATCTATCTTATGCCGCCAGCCTGGTATCACCAGAGCCCGTGGGAAAAGAAACAGTTGCCGATGAACTCGTTGCTTAAGCCCGAGTGCACAGAAGAAATCGGGCAGCGCGTCGGTAATCCGCGCAATCATATACTCGGTCCCCATGTCCGAAATGATTCCCCTCACCCTGCCCAGGAAGTTTCGCGTTGCTTGTGGCGCCCCGCCAAAGCACAGAAAGATCTGCCAGAGCAGTGCCGCGCACTTGTGAAACGCTGAGTGTTGCGCGCGCATCAGCAGCACTGGCGGAAAGGGGCGCATGAGAAGATCCTGGCCATGACGTTTGATCCTGAACGATGCCGCTTGCATCTCCCACCCTCGTCCTTGGGGGCTGGAGCCCACATAAATGAATACATCGATGTTGTTCCAATCGGCATCGTTCAACATCATTCGAGTGAGTAGCATGCGCAACCAATCAAGCCTCACTCTCGATCGTCGTAACGTCTCGTACCGTATCATTTTCAATGTTCGCGTGAGGTCTTCACGATTTATGTTAGCATTCTGAGCGAACAGCACTGACCAGTGTTTAACATATTTTGGGGTATGGCGCAATGATTTCAACGTGGAGGTCGCTCCTAACCATCTCAGAATCAACTTGGCCCCCATGCCACGATATTTGCTCACAGACTCTCTTACAGCTCGCTGACGCTGCTGATAATGCTGTTGCACAGGGTACGCTCGTCGAAACCGTTGCATACACAACCTGCTTGGGGTACTTAGCGAGATTCGGGCCATACGCCTACCGATCACAATACAGTGAAATACTGATGACATCAACTCTGTAATGCGTCTTGCCAACGCAATGCGCACCACAACGGGTTTTTCCAGCATCATGTGTCCATATTCGTGGAACAATTGTTTCCGTATGTCATCCCAAACCCCATCTTGTTTGTCATCGCGATTTCTCCAAAGACTGCAACGACGGCCAACAAACATGTCTAGAATACCTCGTGGCTCCATGAGATCACATACTAATGGCTCGCCAATGTCTACACTCACGATGGCCCTGTATACCAGAAATCCAGAATATTCACCAGAATGGTTTCGGATTGCCCCCTGGATCACCATACTGTCGAGCTGGTCTCTATCGCCAACCCAACTCGGCGGAATCATCTCCCACCTCGCGACAACAACTGCGAACAGATATGTTTGGCAGTCGTTGTGAAGAGCAACTGGCACTGAGCGGAACTCTCGTGCCCACAAACCTCTCCGATTGCCCATGATGAAGAACAACGACGGGGGCCCTTTAGCTTCAATGGGGCCTGGTCTCCTACGAAGCCGAGCCCTGTCTCGAAAGTCCTCGTGCATGACTCTGATATGTGCATCTGCGCCGCCAGCGCCATCATCGCCAGCAACCTCGTCCATCTGCGATGGTGGGAAGAGAAAGAAGCACCTCTTCGAGTGCGCATTTTTCTTGTGTTATGGAAAATGCCGAAACGGTTTGAACCAAAATGTTTGAGCGTGGTTGCGACAATGATGAAAACATGTTTGTATCTGTGCTTGCTGCATGTATGCTTGTTGTCACAATGCCATGATGTATGTGGCAAAAGGTGTTTATAACGATGTTGGTGCGCAAGATGTTGTAGTGATACCCTGCCCTGCTGCTACGCTATGCCCTGCAATGCTATGTATTGCTGTCCCACGCGTGAGAGACTCAGGCTGTTGGTCTTCTGATGTTTTTAGCTGCTGTGCCCTCCCCCCACTGTAAAGTAATTCGGCCGCCCGCAAGGTTGGGGCCCCAGACAATCTTTGGATGAAGGTGTTCCAACTGTTGTGCCGCCTGAGACATTCTCGCAATCAGTGTACGAGTAGCGACAGCGGATGAGGACGCCGACGAAGAGCGGCAGGAGGACGATAATGTGAGAAGTGCGAAGATTGAGCCGATGCATTCGCTCGAAGAGCGAGCTGCATGCCGAAACCCTATGGAGCATTCCCCACATTCCTTCGACTACAAGCTGTAGACCCCTGAAAAACTAAATTTAAATTATGGATGTCCGATCTAAGGGAATGAGCTCCCGTTACTTTGCCCCCACCCTCCTTGGCGGGAACAAACCATTAACCCAAACCGAGTGCCTACCCAGAGCCCTGTAGGCATGTTTCGCATACTCAACGGGACTAAGGAAGCGAACACTGACATGACCATAAAAGCTCGGCGCGCGGGTTTTTCGGATCGGCGCTGGAGACCCCTGGCGCCGCCTCCGGCGCCGAGCCTGGCGCGCTCCGCGCGCCTAGGAGGGGGGGGTCCATCGCCGATGCGAGAAATCCGCGCGAAGCTCAGAGTTCTTATGTTTATGTCATTGCTTCTTTCCCTGGGGACATCAATTTTTGGGGTACATCGACTCTGCAATCGAGCCCCTACTCGACGAGCAACCTCTGGTGCGCGGCCTGCCGACCGTGGCGTGTGATAACTCTGCGACAGCAGCCGCTGCCTATGCGCGCTCGGGTCGGGCGCCGGCGCGCGCCCCTGGAAAGGCCGCGCACCCGCAGGATCGGGATCTCCTTCCCTCGGTGGAGGCACACCGCCAATACTGGTGCTGGTGTCAATCTCTAAGCCTGCGAAGGGCCGCTCTTCTGCCAGACCCCCGACGTCGTGACCATTTTGCGCAGCGTCGACCCCCTGGAGGTCTGGGCCCGTTCCCTCGAGGCCTCGTACAGGGCAGTTTTTAATACATGGGATTTAAACATCTAGGATTTTAATACATGATTAAGTTAGGAATGAATGTATGCATGAACCATTGTTGTTTTTAATACTAAATCCCCTGCATTTTTAATACATGATCCGCACGCGGAGCATGTATAAAAAACGGCGCTGTAGATAGGGTCCGAGTAGATGGGGTCGGAGGACCACGCCGCCTCGCCGATACATCGGCGATGCATCGGCGACGCAGGATCGCCACCGGCGACGCATCCGCGCCGTCGGCGTGGAGAAAATCGGGCTCCGCCACGAGGCGCATCGCCGATGCATCGGCGATGCGGCGCGACCCTCCGAGCCCATCTTGGAGGTCTAGAAGAAGTCTGAACCCCTTCTCCCGAACCGAATTCTCATCCTGAGTCGGTTTTTGACGCTCCCGGGTTGCGGGAAGGGCCACTGGAGGCCGACAATAGCGAAGAACCTCCCGTCAAGTTTTTCACATCGCGAAGGGGTCTGGATTACCTGCAGCCGAGTCCTCAAGCTCGACGAGCCCGGGCAGGAAGACGACCAGCGTGCCGCCGGACCTCGCGAGCAGCGGCACCAAGCTCAGCGCCAGCCTTTGGCGGCGAGCCCGGGGGGGGGGGAATGCCTCCTCAGAGGGAGGCGGGGCGGGACTTCCCAGAAGCCCTCGCCCCTCCCGAGGAAGCCCTGCAAGCCTTCTTCGAAGCCGCAGGCGCACAGGCGGCAGCTCAGAAGGCGCCAGGGCTTCTGCCAAGCCCCGCCGCCTGCCCAGACCCCCGACGCCGAGGCCCCGCCGCCTTCTGAGCAGGCGCGCCCCGACCCGAGGGATGAGGAGAGGAGGGAGGGAGGGCTTGGGAATAGGAGCACTGACGAAGTCAAACAACGCCTGCCGGAGACAGGAGTGTCAGGCTCAGGCCCCCTGTGTGCCCTTGTCCTGGCACTCCCTGCGTTCCTTGGCGAGTTGACTGGTGGCCCACGCCCCACGACTGTAGAGGTGGAGGGAGGAAGGGAGGGAGGAGCGAGGGGGAGGAGGAGGAGGAGGAGGCGCCGCTGCCTCTCGCGGAGGGGCGGGCCCCCCCAAACTAGGAGGAAGCCAGGACGAGGATGACATTGGGTGAGGATGGGTCGAGAACCTCTGAGATCCAGCCGTTCTGAAGGCTGTCTCGGGCGCAACGGCCTTCTCAGAGCGTCCCGCTGAACGCTCTGGGAGCGCTCCAGGACGCTCTGGAACTTATTTTATCCTCGTCCTGGCCACGTCCGACAGAAGCCCGACGACCAAATTCGTAGAATTCGTCGTAACGGCGGGGGGTTGCGCACACTCGAGCGACGAAAAGAAACGGGTCTTCCGCGAGCAGCGGGTCTTCCGCGAGATGTCCTCGTCCTGGCCCCGTCCGACCGACCAGCCCTGCCAAAAGGGGCGGGGGCTCCCTCAGGAGGAAGGGCCGGCTGTAGGCGTGGCGCCCGGCCAGATCGCGCCATATGCGCGGGCAGCTTACGCAGACGAGTGTTGGCGCAGACGACCCCGTCGTGTTGCGTCGCTCCGATGGCGCCGGGCAGCGCCCGCGGCCATGGCGCCCGCGCCCACCAACGCAAGCGAAGGCGGCCAGCTCCGAGGGGGGAGAAGAACAACCACCTTCTGTAGCAACATGTACATCAGCCCCCCTCCCTTTCCCCCCCCTCCCTTCCTCCCCTCCCTTCCCACCCCTCCCTTCCCACCCCTTCCGTCCTCCCCTCTCCAGCCCGCCTCCCTCTCCCTCCGCGCCTCACCTTCCCCTCCCGCCCCCTCTGAGCCTCACCCTCCCTCCCATGCCTCGGTTTGTCCCGAATGCGGTGCAGTCGGAGCCTCGGCCACAAGAAACCTTCCACAAGAAACCCAACCCTGAGACCTCAGGACGTCCACTGATGTCTGGTGTGGGAACGTCACGCTCTCCATCGCAGAACCATAGAAACTCAACAAACCCAAGGGCACCCTGGAGGCAAGCGGAGTGTTTCTTGGTATGGGCTTCCACCTCTACAGCAACATGTACACCAACACAATGATGCTGAACGAGAAGCGCCTCAGCAAGAACAAGAGGACCACACACAGTGCCTCCCCGATATTCTGAATGAGTCGGTTGGCATCTCGGATGGCCCATCCGAGGCATGAGCAGTTGTTGTAAAACGTCATCACTTGCGGATGATGAGAATCAATATTGTAGAATACTTGGGGGGTGGGCGGCGGGCTGCCTCAGAGGGTCGCGGCAAGGCAATGCTTGCCTCGCCGCCGCCTGCTTCGCCGCCACTAGCCTCGCTTGCACAGAGCCCGCGCCCTTCTCTCGCTCTCGCCTCCTCCTCCTTGCTGTCCTCCACCCGGGCTCCGCCGTCTTCGCGGCCGTCCCCAGGGGGACCCCCTCGCCCTCCTCGCACGCCCACGCGCTCAGCAGGCCCAGACGACCGAGGCCCTTTCTCTTGCCGCATGGTGGGATCGCCACACTACCTCCCTCCTTACTCTGACAGACCTAGGGACCTATACGGACTGCCTAAAACCTCGACAGGAATTTAGATGTCGAGATCTGGGTGCCGTTTTTCAGCCCTCCTGGAAGGCCAGGGTACTTGCCTCCGGCCGCTGCCCCGAACTCGCATGACACATGCCCCTGCCGGCTGCCGCGTGCCCCGGGCCACCCGCCGCACCAAACAACGGGGATCGGGCACTTCCGCATGGAGGAGGAGGAGGAGGAGGAGGAGGAGGAGGAGGAGGAGGAGGAGGAGGAGGAGGAGGAATGGAGCAGGCCCGCCCGAGCCCTCAGCCACAGGCCCCAGCGGTCGCAAAGACCCAGGCAGCTGAGGCCACACGGAGCGAGGCAAGGCCCCTGATCACCGGGACGCCGCACCGCACCCCCTCTCTCTGCCTTCCTCTGGGCCTCTGCTCCCCCCCTCCTCCCCCCGCTCTCCTCCGCAGGAGAAGCCGCCGGCACCCCCGTGGCACGGGGGCACCATCCTGTCCCTCGTGGGGGGGGGGCGCAGCTTCTGGTATACATCCGTGGGTGGCCCACCGTTGTTGCAATCCCGAGTTGGGCAAGAGGCGGACCTCCGCCGCCAAGGGCCTACTGGCGGCCAGACCGACATCATCTCAACAGACTGCCGCCACAGAAAGAGACGGAAACGGCGCCAACTGTAGCGGCAGCAATGCCCAGCAGGCCTGGGTTGCCGTGGCCATCGTTATTGGAGGGTCACGAGGGACTATACCGTGGGGGGGGCAAGGAGCTGCGAGAGGCCCGCGACAAGGCCCGGATGACTGGCCACCTTTAGGGTTGAAAGGTGGGTTCTACAGGAGCCGGAGGAAGACGAGGACCAGGGTCCAGTTCTGCACATGTTTGTTCACTAGGCCAGCGCATCAGCCCGCACGCCGCCCGTGGGACGGGCGACTAGGGAAGGAGATTGCCTGGGTGGTGGATTCCTCAGGGGTCGCCCCCCTTTTTGGCTGATGTGCTGCCCGCGTTTGCACCGCGCCCTCTCCCCCGCCCCTGATGAGGGCGACGTGCACCGCCTCTGCTGTTGGTGCGACTGCTGCACGCGCGCTGGTGGGGTGAGGGCTTGGCGGAGGAAGTGCGCGACGAGGGCTTCGACCATCCGTGGTGGCACAGTCTGCAGCTTCGAGCTTCGAGGGGGAGGCAGAGGAGGAGGAGGAGGAGGAGGAGGAGGAGGAGGAGGAGGAGGAGGAGGAGGAGGAGGAGGAGGAGGAGGAGGAGGAGGAGAGAGAGACGAGGAGCAGGAGAAGGAGAGGAGGAGGGGAGGAGGAGGAGGCTGAGGAGGGAGGGGGGGAGGAAAGAGAGGAAACAGAAGGAGGAGGAGGATGAGGAGGAGGAGGAGGAGGAGGAGGAGCAGGAGGGGGAGAAGGAGGGGGAGGGGAGGAGGACAACATGGGTGCGCTCGCGTCACATCTGACGTCCTACCCCTCCCTCTCATCCCTTACCACGGCCTAGATCTCCTCTCTATTCGCAGTCGGATGTCGTAGCAGGGCATAGCATTACATGGCATAGCATGGTGTTGAAGATGAACGCGTAGCCTGATATAGCATGGCCTTACGACGTCCCGAAGTGCAGGGGGGCTTCTGCGGCTCAAATAATCAACGAATCGGCACCGATAGTGTAATCACTTCCGATGGTAAAAACCCGTTTCCCAGGACTCCTGTGTGAAAAAGACCTGTGCGCGGAAGGGGGCGACTATTGCCCGGACGTCACCAGGGGAGACATGAGAGTAGTCTTCTTATTGTACTATTGTGGAAGAGAAGGAGGAGTAGGAGTAGGAGGAGGAGGAGGAGGAGGATAAGGAGAAGCAAGGAGGTGCGAGGAGGAGAAGGAAGAGGAGGATGAGGAGGAGGTGCAAGGAGGTGCGAGGAGGAGGAGGAAAGGAGGAGGAGCAATGAGGAGGCGGAGGAGGAGGAGGAGGAGGAGGAGGAGGAGGAGGAGGAGGAGGAGGAGGAGGAGAGAGAGAGGAGAGAAGAGAGGAGGAGAAGAGGAGGGGGAGGGAGGAGCAGGAGGAGGAGAGGAGGAGGGAGGAGGGGAGGGAAGGAGGGGGGGGGAGGATGAATCTGGGTACACTGGGAGGGGGAGGAGGAGAAGGAGAAGGAGGTGGAGGAGAAGGTGGAGGAGGAGGAGGAGAGGAGGAGGAGGAGCAAGGAGGAGCAATGGGGAGGAGGACGAGGAGGAGGAGGGGGAGGAGCAAGGAGGAGAAGCCCCCTCTTACTCCTCCCCCTTGGGCTCAGCGCCCGCCTGCCGAGGCCGGGCGCGATGTGGGGCGACTTCGCCAGCCAGCCCTGCCCTTCGCACGCCGCGTCGAACTCCTCTTCGATGGGCCCCCAAATCCGGGACATTCCAGGAGGGCTCCATTCCTCCTCCTCCTCCTCCTCCTCCTCCTCCTCCTTCTCCTCCTCCATTTCCTCCTCCATTCCTCCTCCTCCTCCTCCTCCTCCTCCTCCGCCCTCCTCCTCCTCCTCTTCCTCCTCCTCCTCCTTCCCCATTCCTCCTCCCTCCCCTCCTCCTCCCTCCTCCTCCTCCTCCTCCTCCTCCTCCTCCTCCTCCTCCTCCTCCTCCTCCTCCTCCCCTTCCTCCTCCATGCGGAAACGCCCGATCCCCGTTGTTTGGTGCGGCGGGTGGCCCGGGGCACGTGGCAGCCGGCAGGGGCATGCGTCGTACGAGTTCGGGGTAGCGGCTGGAGGCAAGTATCCTGGCCTTCCAGGAGGGCTAAACAAATAGCACCATACGCCCTCGACGTCTAAATCCCTGTCCAGGTTTCAGGCAGCCCAGATAGGTCTAAGTGGGCCGGGAGTGCTATTTTTGGCACTCTGGAAGGTCAGGGATCGGGGGGGACGAAAGGGTAGGATAGCAAAGGGCAGGGCAAACAAACAGCTCACGTAGCTGGTTTTCCTGGCGCCTGCTGGCGCCGGGAGGCGCCCATGTATCGAGGAATAGGCCCGACGGCGGGGCGGAAACAAGCTGAACACAACAGATTTCGTAAGCCACCCTTTCCCTATCCTACCCTTGTGCCCGGCCCGACAAACACCCAAACCCCCTCGCGTCCTGAACAAAGCATGATGGAAATATTGGTCGCTGCGTTCAGCCCCTGGGGGCCCTCGCTGGGCCTTGGAACCGTCAAAAACGGACTCAGGATGAACACCCGGTGCTGGGGAATGGGTCGAGACCTCTGGACTTCCGCGTCATGGAAAGGCAGGACGTCGGGGGCCTGGCAACCCTGGGATCCTGGCGTCGCATTGTTTGCACGGCGGGCGGTCTTGCCAGGGTCCGGGCCGTGGGACTCTCAGAGATCGATCCAGCTCGGAACAGACCGCAGAAAGATGGGGTACAGGGCTTCGGTCGACGGATCTACGATGTTACAAATTGTTCGTGACGTCGGATCTCAGGGAACGATGCGGTGGTGACCTCGAAATCACCCAACGACCTTTCAACGCACGGTCCATCACCACACGGTCTTGGGACCGTGGATGCCCCGGTCGCCAGATACGTCCTCGGGAAACGACCCACTTGTCCCAAAATCGTGCGGTTACCCCGGATCCCCGCTGACCTACCACACGGTGTGGCGACCGCACCGTTTGGGCCCCTCCCCGTCCTTTACCGCCTCTCGCGCTCGCACAGCCTGCGCCGCTGGGAGGAGCTGGTGCCACTCACCCGCCTCGTCGACGATGTCGTCGAGGAAGAGCTGACGGACTGGAAATGTGCGGCCCTCGACCGCAATGGGCGCCGCGGACGACGCGTCCAGGAACTCGGAGAAAAAATTGCCAAACACGTCCGCCTGCAGCGTGGCGGACATGAGGACGATTTTCGTCCTTGGGAAAAAATGCATCAGCAGCTTCGTAAGGAGCAGGAACATCTCCATGTCCGCGCTCTGTTCGTGGACCTCGTCCAGGACGATGTGCGTGAAGCCCTGGAAAGCCTCCGGCCGCGCCAGGAACCACGCCAGGGCATAACCCACGGTGGCGAGCTGCAGGCGACAGTTCGCGCCGACAGACTCGCCGCCTATCCTGTACCCCACGCCCTGCCCCAGGCGCTCGCCGCGCTGGGAGGCCACGTGCCTGGCGATGCCTATGGCGGCCACGCGGCGCGGCTGCGTGACCAGCACCCGCGAGGCGGGCTCCTCAAGCAGAAACTGGGGCACCATCGTGGACTTCCCGCACCCCGTCGCGCCCGCGACCACGGTGACGCGCTGGGCGCCGATGCGCGCCATGATGTCCGCGCGCCTGGCCTCGATCGGCAGCGGCTCTCGCGCCGGCGGCCCCGCCGCCGCGGGCCGCGGCGCGGCCTCCAGCTCGCCGCTGGGCTCTGGGCTGGGCTCCTCCGCGGCCAGCGCCCCCTCCAGCGCGTCGAAGTCGGCGCTCTCCTCCCAGGCTTCGTCGTCGCCTCCGCCCAGGGCCTGCTCCACGCGCTCCTGGAGGTCCAGCAGTCCCCAGGCCAGCGAGACGTCCTCCGCGACGGAAGCCTCGTGCTGCTCCCACGCACCGCCGCCTCCGCCAGCGGCCTGCTCCGCGCGATCGCGGAGTCCCTGCCACGGGTCGGCCTCCGCCCACGGGCCCTGCGCAGCCTGCGGCCCTTCCGGGAGCCGCTGCGCCTGCCCTGGCGGTGCCCCCTTCAGCTCCTGCCACGGGTCGGCCTCCGCCCACGGGCCGCCAGGGGCCCGAGGCTCCTCCGCCCGCCGCCGCGCCTCCTCCGGCAGCGCCTGCCTCAGCTCTCCCCACGGGTCGGTCCCATGCCACCCCTCCTCGGGAGCCCGCGCTTGCTCCCGCGGCCGCCGCGCCTCCTCCGACGGCGCCTGCCCCAGCTGCCCCCACGGGTCGGCCTCCTCCCACGGACCCTTCCGAGGCTGCCGCGCTCCCTCTGGCAGCGCACCCTCCCGCGGATCGGCCTCCACCCGCGTCTCGTCGGGAGCCTCCAGCTCCGCCGCAAGCTGCCGCGCCGCCTCCAGCACCTCCTCTGGCAGCGGCTCCTTCATCTCCCCCCACGGGTCGGGCCCGTCCCATGCCCCCTCGGGAACTGGCGGCTCCTCAGGCGGCCGCTGCGCCTCTTTCCGCAGCGCCTTCTGTCGGCGCTTCTTGGCTCCCTTCCCAATTTTAGGTCCCTGCCGTAGCAGGGCCCCATCTTGGAACCGCCCATCCTCGGGAGCTGGCCGCCGCGCTCGGGAGGCAGGCGGCGCCTCCGGCGGAACCTCCGGCGGCGCCGCCCTTGCCTTCCGCGGCTGCTGAGACTCCCGTCGGCCCGGCACGGCCGCGGCTTGCTGCCCCGGCGGCTGCAGCTGGGCCTCGCGCGCGGGCGCCGGCCCCACCACGGCGCTGAGCGCAACGCCCGCGGCGCCCGCCCGCGAGGTCTGGGCGGACTCGAGCTCCAGCTCGCGCGCGAGCTCGCCGTCCTCCCGGTCCCTCAGGGCGGCCAGCTTCTCCCTCCGATCCAGCTCGTCATCGCCCTCCAGCGGCACCCGCGACAGGAGGGCCCGGGCCAGCTTCGAGGCGCGCGTGGCGGCCATCTTGCCAGGGCCGCGCCGCATGCTCCGCTGCAGGTCGGCCCCATTGCGGAGGGCCTCGGCGATCTTGGCGCACAGCACGCTGTCGAACGAGCTACGCGGCTCTGCACACCACGCGCCACCGATGCCCAGCACCCGCGCCAGGTCGGCCGTCAGATCCAGCGCGAACTCGAACTCGGCGGGGCCGTCCAGGTCCGCGGGCAGTGCGCCCTGCTCCGCCAGCACCGCCTCCAGGGTGGCGAGCAGCGCCCGCTTCGAGGCGGCGCCGCCGCGCTCGGAGACGCAGAACTCGGCGGTCCAGGCCAGCGCGCTGACCTCCGCCTCGCCCAGCGGCTCGCCCAGCGCCGCCCGCCGCTCCGCCAGGAAGACCACCGCCGAGGCCGCGCCGGGGCACGCCCCCCACGGGCTCCTGGAGGCCGCGCGTTCCGCGACGCCGGGCGGGTACCTCCTGCGCCCGCGGGCCAGCCGCGCCCAGGACCCGAGCCAGCCAGGCTCTCCGCGGCCGGCCATGGCGAGCGCGCGCTCGAGCAGCCACTCTCGCTGCAGGGGCGCCAGCGCGAGAATGGCGTCCAGCTCGAGGGATTCGTCCGTCTCCGCCTCGACCGGCTTGCTGCAAAGGTCGCCCGATGCTCCGGCGCCGTACTCCATCACGCGCCCGCCAGGCGGCGGCACCAGCAGATACGCCACGCGCCGCAGCGGCAGCGTGAGCTCCGACAGGGCCCCGGCAGACCTGACATCCCCGGGCGCGGCGCCGCACCATCGCCGCCCATGCTCGCGGGCGCCAGCCAGCCACGCGGGCAGGGCGGCGATGCTGGAGGCCGAGCCTTGTTCGCCTGCCGCGCCAGCAGCTCGCTGGCTTGAAAACTGTTCGCCGATCGGCGCGTCGATGCTCAGGTGATCGATAACCTCTGTGACACTCCAGTACTGTTTGCGAGTCGGTGGCAGGAGCGCAAGCTCCTCGATGCCAGCACCCTCTCTGGGGCCACTCTGCTCGAGGCTCAGCCGCAGCGGCACTTGCTCCAGAGCGCCCGCCTGCATAATCTTGCCCGAGTCGTTGAAAATCGCAAGTGCTGAGGGTTCGCGCTCAGCCTCAGGAGCGAAGAAGAGGCAACCATAACCGCTGTTGTCGGGGTCGGCCTTTTCGAGGGGCGCCAGGGGCGATTCCCTCAGCCCAGCAATTGTGGCCCCAGCGCCATTGTTTCACAAGAGCGAGCCCCAGAGGTCTGTACACGCATTCGTCGTCCCGAGTCGTTTCTTGAAGGTGCCTGGGCCCGGCCAGTGCCCCCCGAAACCGAAGAGAACGAAAAACAGCCCATCGCACTTTTCTACGTGTCGCGACGCGAGGGATCATGGGGCTTCTCACGCGGCAGGGCGGCTCTGGGACGCGGCGGTCTCTTCTTCGCCCGCGGCAGCCAGCGCCGCGACGTGAGCGGCAGCGCTGCCCTCGCAGTGCGTGACGCGGGCACCGACACGCCGCAAGGTCGCCTCCAGCTGCGCGGCGGCCAGCGGCAGCGCGAGCGCGGCGGCCCCAGGCCGGCCCCGCCCGGCGGAGGCCTGCTCGAGCCACCACCGCCAGCTGCGTGCCGCGCCGCCCGGGCCCTCTGGCTCGGGCCCTCCTGGTGCGGGGTCGGAGGTTTTCGGGCGCTGCCGTCGGTTCTCGGCGGCTTTCCACGCACGCTCGCGTGCAAACAAGAAGCACGGCGGCGGGTTTGTGGCTGTTTGCGGCCCCTCGGGGCCCTGACCGGGCCCTCGGACCGTCAACAGAACTATACCCGCAATGAAACATCGGGGCTCGGGACTTCGGAGACCCTGCATCGAGAAAAACCGGGGCATCGCATGTCTGCTGGGTTTCCAGTCTCGGGATGCCTCGCAGCGGATGCGCCTCGCCGAGGACGTTCCGGGGTTGCCGAGATCGCTCCGAACAGACGCCCGAGAGCCGAATGATGGCCCAGGGCCCTCCTGCGCCGCTCACGAAGATGTGCAGGTCCACCCCCTGAGCCCGCAGCCGGCGGACGACGCGTGTGGCCCTGCGGTCCTGAAGCGACAGAACAAGATATAGACATAAACTCTCGGAGCTCCGCACGCTTGAATCGCGGCGCTGGAGCTCCGCACGCTTGGATCGCAGAAATCCGCGCGGGGCGCAACACAAATCATGTTTCTGCAATTTGTTCTGCCTTGGAATCCAGCGCGTGGTAGCTCAGGCCGCGCACCTCGCCACCCGCGCTGGCCAGCCACAGGAGAAGGGCGTCGAAGTCCACGAGGACCTCTTCTGTGGCAACTCACGGGGAGCCTCCCGCAACATCTTGAAGGCTCTTGCGAAGTGGCTAATCGACGCTAGTCGACGCTGAACGGCCCCATGGGTCGCTATTCCGAAGGCCGCATATCGCGGCGACGGCGGCCCTGGTGACACACTGTGCCGTGCAAGCGGATAGCGTGTCGCTCCGCTGAGCGGGGCGGGAGGCTCGGGAAGGCTCGGGACGTTGCCGCTTGGGGGTTGGAAAATGAACGGCTTGTCGCGCCGAAGCGTAATGGGCCAGAACCAGCGGCGCGACACGCTACCGGGAAATTCCCGACCCGTATCATGGCACGATATCCACCTTCCAACCCGTGGCGGCCCCTGACCACTGCGCGGCGAGGCCGCGTGCGTCGTCACGTTGACGTCGACGCGTCGTCGTCGTCGTTGTCGTCGTCGTCGACGTCGCCGTCGTCGACGTGGTCGTCATCGCAGTCGTCGCCGTCGCCAGCGACGACGACGACGACGTCGACGTCGTAATTGTCGCCGTCGTCGTCGCGACGGCGACGTCGTCGTCGCCGTCGTCGACGTCGTCGTAGGCGTCGACGTCGCCATCGTCGCCGTCTTCGTCGTTGCGGTCGTCGTCGACGCCGACGTCGTCGTCGCCGTCGTTTTCGTCGTCGTCGCCGTCGTCGTAGCCGTGTTCGTCGTCGCCATCAACGTACGACGTCGACGTCGACGTCGTCGTCGTCGCCGTCATCGTTGCCGTAGTTGCCGTCGTCGTCGTCGTCGTCGACGTAGCCCACGTCGACGTCGACGTGGGCGTCGTCGTCAACGTCGTCATCGCCTTCGTCGTCGCCGTCGTCGTCGTCGACGTCGTCGTCGTCGTCGCCATCGTCGTCGCCGTTGTCGTCGTCGTCGTTGGCGTCGACGTCGTCGTCGTCGTCGTGGCCGTCTTCGTCGTCGTCGTCGTCCACGTCGACGACTGCGACGACGACGGCGGCGGCAACATCGACGAAGAAAACTGTGTCGACGTCGACGACTGCGATGACGACGTCGTCGTCGTCGGCGCCGTCGACGTGGACAACGTCGACGCCAACGACGACGTCCGCGTCGTCGTCGACGTCGTCATCGTCGTCCGCGTCGTCACACTCGCCGTCGTCGTCGTCGTCGACGTCGATGCAGTCGTCGTCGTCATCGTCGTCGTCGCCTTCGCCGTCGCCGTCGCCGTCGCTGTCGTCGTCGTCGTCGTCGCTGTCGCCGTCGTCGTCGACGCCTGCGTCAACGTCGACGTCGGCGTCGACGACGACGTTGTCGCCGTCGTCGTCGCCGTGGTCGTTGTCGTCGTCGACGTGGACGTCGTCGCCGTCGCCGTCGCCGTCGTCGTCGTTGTCGTCGTCGTCGTCCGCGTCGTCGCCCTCGGCGTCGTCGTTGTTGTCGACGTCGGCGTCGTCGTCGCCGTCGTCGTCGCCGTCGCCTTCGCCGTCGTCGGCGTCGTCACCCACGTCGGCGCCGTCGTCGCGTCGTCCACGTCGCCGTCGTCGTTGTCGTCGCTGTCGTCGTCGACATCGTCGTCGTCGTCGTCGCAGTGAGCACCGCCGTCGTCGTCGTCGCCTTCGTCGTCGTCGTCGTCGTTGCCGTCATCGTCCGCGTCGTTGCCGTCATCGTCGTCGCCGTCGTCGTCGCCGTCGTCGTCGTCATCGTCGTCGTTTGCGTTGTCATCGTCGTCGTCGCCGTCACCGTCGTCGTTGCCGTCGCCGTCGCCGTCGTCGTCGCCATCGTCGTCATCCGCGCCGTCGTTGTCGTCGTTGTCGTGAACATCGCAGTCGTCTTCGTCGCCTTCTCCGTCGGCGTCTCCGTTGTCGTCGTCGTCGTAGTCGTCGCCCGCGACGTCGTCGTCGTCGACATCGACGTCAACGCCGACGTCGTCGTTTCGTTAACATCCTCGACGCCGTCGCCGTCGTCGTTATCGCTGTCGCGCCCTCGATGTCGTCGTCGTCGTCGTCGTTGCCGTCGCTGTTGCCGTCGTCGTCGTCGTCGTCATCCGCGTAGTCACCGTCGTCGACGTCTTCGCCGTCGTCGTCTTGGTCGTCGTCACCGTCGTCGTCGTCGCCGTCGTCATCGACGTCGTCGTCGTCGCTCTCGCCTTCGTCGTCGTCGTCGTTGTCGTCGCCGTCGGCGACAACGTCGCCCCCATCGTCGTCGTCGTCGTCGCTCTCGCCGTCGTCGTCGCCGTCGTCGTCGACGCCGTCGGAGTCGCTGACGTCGACGTCGTCCTCGTCGTCGTCGCCGTCATCGTCGTCGTCGTCCACGCACGTCGTCGCTGTCGTTGTCGTGGTCGTCGTCGACGTCGTCGTCGACGTCGTCGACGTCATTGCCGTCACCGTCGTCCGCGTCGTCGCCGTCGTCGACCTCGCCGGCGTCGTCATCGTCGTGGGCGCCTTTGCCGTCGCCGTCGTCGTCGTCGGCGTTGTCGTCGACACCGTCGTCGTCGTCGTCAACGTCGTCGTCACCGACGTCAACGTCGTCGTCGTCGCCTTCGTCGTCGCCGTCGTCGTCTTCGCCGTCGCCCTCGCCGTGATCATCGCCGCCGTCGCCGCTGCCGTCGCCGTTTTTTCGTCGTCGTCGTCGCCACCATCATCGCCATCGTCGTCGTCGTCGGCGTCGTGGTCGTCGTCTGCGTCGTCGTCGTCGTCAACGTCGTCGTCGGCGTCGACGTCAACGTCGCCGTCGCCAGCGCTGTCGTCGTCGTCGTCGTGGTCGCCGTCGCCGTCGTCGTCGACGTCGTAGTCATCGTCGAAGTCGTCGCCGTCGTCGTCGTTGTCTTCGTTGTCGCCGACGTCGGCGTCGAGGTCGTCGTCGTCGTCGTCATCGTCGTCGTTGTCACCGTCGCAATCGTCGTCGTCGTCGTGGCCGTCGCGTCGTGGTCGTCGTCGTCGCCATCGCCGTTGCCGTCGTCGTCGTCGACGGCGTCGTCGTCACCGTCGTCGTAGTCCTCGTCGTCGACGTCGGCGACGTCGTCGTCGTCCGCATCGTCGCCGTCGTCGTCATCATCGTTGTCGTCGCCGTCGGCGTCCACATCGAAATCGACGTCGTCGTCGTCGTCGCTGTCGTCGTCCTCGTCGTCGACGTCGTCGTCGTCGCCGTCGTCGTCGCCGTCGCCTTCGTCATCCACGTCATCGTCGCCGTCGTCGACCTCGCCGTCGTCGTCATCGTCGTGCGCACCGTCGCCGTCGCCAACGTCGTCGTCAGCGTCGCCGTCGCAGCCGTCGTCGTCGTCGCCGTCATCGTCGGCGTCGTAGCCGTCGTCGTTGTCTTCGTCGCCCCAGTCGTCGTCGTCGTCGTCGTCGTCGTCCGCGTCGACGTCGTCGTCGTCGTCCGCGTCGTCGCAGACGTCATCTTCGTAGACGTCGCCGTCGTCGTCGTCACAGCGTTGTCGCCATCGGCGTCGTCCTCGTCGGCGTCGTCGCTCTCGCCGTCGGCGTCGACGTCGTCGTCGTCGCCCTCGTCGTCGTCGTCGTCGCCGTCGCCACCGCCGTCGTCGTCGTCATCGTCGTCGTCGTCGCCACCAGCGGCGTCGGCGTCGTCGCCGGCGTCGAGGACATCGTAGTCGTCGTCGTCGTCGTCGTCGTCGTCGTCGACGTCGGCCTCGACGTCGACTTCGTCATCGTCGCCGTTGTCGTCCGCGTCGTCGCCGTCGTCGTCGTCGCAGTCGTCGTCGTCGTCGCCCTTGCCCTCGCCGTCGTCGTCGTCGTCGCCGTCGCCGTCGTCGTCGTCATCGTCGTCGCCGTCGTCGCCGCCAACGTCGTCGTCGTTGTGGCCGCCGTCGCCGTCGCCGTCGTCGTCGTCGTCGCCGTTGTCGTCGTCGTCGCCGACGTCGACATCGACGAGGTCGTCGACTTCGACGTCGTCGTTGTCGTCGTCGTCGCCGCCCGCGTCGTCGCTGTCGTCGTCGTATGCGTCGTCGTCGTCGACCGCGTCGTCGCCGTCGTCGTCGTCGCTGCCGACGTCGAGTTCGTCGTCGTCGTCGCCGTCGCCGTCGTCGTCGTCGTCGTCCTCGCCGTCGCCGTCGTCGTCGTCGCCGTCGCCGTCGCCGTCGTCGTCGTCGTCTTCGTCGCCCCCGTCGTCGTCGTCGTCGTCGTCCGCGTCGACGTCGTCGTCGTAGTCGACATCGTCGTCGTCGTCGACATCGTCGACGTCGGCGACGACGTCGTCGTGGTAGTCGTCGCAATCGACGACGTCCTCTCCGCCGTCGTCGTCGCCGTCGTCGTTGTCGTCGTGGCAGTCGCCGTCGCCGTCGTTGTTGTCGTCGTCGGCGTCGTCGCCCTCGCCGTCATCGTCATCGTCGTCGTCGTCGCCGTCACCGTCGTCGTCGTCGTCGTCCTCGCCGTCGCCGTCGTCGTCGTCGCCGTCGCCGTCGCCGTCGTCGTCGTCGTCTTCGTCGCCCCCGTCGTCGTCGTCGTCGTCGTCCGCGTCGACGTCGTCGTCGTAGTCGACATCGTCGTCGTCGTCGACATCGTCGACGTCGGCGACGACGTCGTCGTTGCAGTCGTCGCAATCGTCGACGTCCTCTCCGCCGTCGTCGTCGCCGTCGTCGTCGTCGTCGTGGCAGTCGCCGTCGCCGTCGTCGTTGTCGTCGTCGGCGTCGTCGCCCTCGCCGTCATCGTCGTCGTCGTCGCAGTCGACGTCGCCGCCGTCGTCGTCGTCGTCGCCAGCGACGTCGAAGTCGACGTCGACGTCGACGTCGTCGTTGTCGTCCGCGTCGTCGCCGTCGTCGTCGTCGTCATCACCGTCGCCGTCGCCGTGATCGTCGTCGTCGTCGTCGCCGACGTCGGCGTCGCCATCGTCGTCGTCGAAATCGACGTGGACGTCGACGTCGCCGTCGTGGTCGCCGTCGTCGTCGCCGTCGTCGTCGTCGTTGTCGTCGTCGTCGTCGACGTCGACATCGACGTCGACGTCGTCGTCTCCGTCGCCCGCGTCGCCGTCGTCGCCGTCGCCGTCGTCGCCACCATCTTTGTCATCGATGTCGAAGTCAAAGTCAATGTCGTAGTCGTCGTCGTCAACGTCGTCGTCGTCGTCCTTCAGAGTCGACGTCGTCGTCGCCGTCGTCGCCGTCGTCGTCGTCATCGTCCGCGTCGTAGCCGTCGCCACCGAGGTCTAAGTCGACGTCGACGCCGACGTCGACGTCGCCGTCGTTCGCGTCGTCGCCGTCGTCGTCGTCGTCGCCGTCGTCGTCGTCGTCGTCGTCGTCCTTCAGGGTCGACGTCGACGTCGACGTCGTCGTCGTCGCCGTCGTCGTCGTCGCCGTCGTCGTCGTGTCGTCCTTCAGGGTCGACGTCGTCGTCGTCCGCGTAGCCGTCGACATCGAGGTCTACGTCGTCGTCGACGTCGACGTCGTCGTCTTTCGCATCGTCGCCAGCGTCGTCGCCGTCGTCGTCGTCGTCGCCGACGTCCTTGAGGGTCGACGTCGAGGTCAGCGTCGTCGATGTTGTCGTCGACGACGTCGACATCGACGTGGACGTCGACGTCGACGTCGACATCGTCGTCGTCGACCCCAACGCCGTCGTCGTCGTCGTCGAGGCCGCCGTCGTCGTCGAGGCCGCCGTCGTCGTCGCCGTCGCCGACGTCGACGTCGTCGTCGTCGCCGTCGGCGCCGTCGTCGTCGTCGTCGTCGACGTAGAATTCGCCGTCAACGTCGACGTCGTAGTTGTCGTCCGCGTCGTCACCCTCGTCGTCGTCGTCGTTGTCGTCGCCGTCGTCCTTCAGGTCGACGTCGACGTCGACGTCGACGTCGTCGTCGCCGTCGTCGTCGTCGGCGTCGTCGTCACCGTAGCCGTCGTCGACGTAGAATTCGCCGTCAACGTCGACGTCGTAGTTGTCGTCCGCGTCGTCACCCTCGTCGTCGTCGTCGTTGTCGTCGCCGTCGTCCTTCAGGTCGTCGACGTCGACGTCGTCGTCGTCGTCGTCGTCGGCGTCGTCGTCACCGTAGCCGTCGACGGTCGTCTGTCTTTGTGTTAGTCGTTGTCGTCGTCGACGACGACATCGACGTTGGCGTCGACGTCGACGTCGACGTCGTCGTCGCAATTGTTGTCGTCGCCGTCGTCGTCGTCGCCGTCGTCGTCGTCCTTCAGGGTCGACGTCGACGTCGACGTCTACGTCAGCGTCGTCGTCGTCCACGTCGACGTCAACGTCGTCGTCGCCGCCGCCGCCGTCGTCGTCGTCGTCGGCGCCGTCGACGTCGTCCGCGTCGTCACCGTCGTCGTCGCCGTCGTCGTCGTGGTTCTTCAGGGTCGACGTCGACGTCGACGTCGACGTTAACGTCGTCGTCGTCGTCGACGCCGTCGTCGTCGACTTCGACGTCGCCGTCGTCTTTGTCTTTGTCTTTGTCTTTGCCTTTGTCTTTGTCTTTGTCTTTGTCGTCGTCCTCCAGTGTCTGCGGTGCCGGCCGTAAGACCTCTGCGCGGCGGGGCCGCAGGCCCACAGCAGACGTCGCGGCGGGCTCCAGGACCTGCACCGCGGGGCCGGCTGTCCGGCGCAGCCGGTGGCGGGCGCTGCCTCGGGCCCGGCGCAGGGCGGGCCACAGGACTGGCACGGCCAGGCAGCCTCGTTGGGGGCCAGGGTTAGGAGGTTCCATTTCGACCCTGACCGCTGGCAGGAATTTCGAGGACCAAGAGAAAGCACCGGAACTGCAGGGTTTTCACGAAGAGCCCTGAATTCAGGATCCCAGGATACTTGGATCACGATCCAAGTGTTTCTCTCACCCAGGAACACTTGGGTCACGATCCAAGTGTTTTCTACCAAGGAACACTGGACAGCCCAAGAGGAGGGACTCGGGGTGGAGAGTCGAGGAGGAGAGTCGGGGAGGGGAGGAGAGTCGGGAAGGAGAGTCGGGGAGGAGAGTCGGGGAGGAGAGTCGGGGAGGAGAGAATCGGGGAGGAGAGTCGGGGAGGAGAGTCAGAGTCGGGGAGGAGAGTCGGGAGGAGAGTCGGGGAGGAGACTCGGAGAGAGTCGGGGAAGAGAGTCGGGAAGGAGAGATCAGAGATCGCACTCCTCGGCACCTCTCTCCGCTCCTCCGCACTCCTCCATTCATCCCACTCCACAGCGCGCCTCGCGACTCGAACTCTTCGGCACTACTCCACACTACTCGCTAGGCACGACTCCTCCGCACTTCTCTCTCGACACTCCTCGGCACGCCTCCCTCGGCACTTCTCCCTTGGCACTCCTCGTCGGCACTCCTCGTCGGCACTCATCCTCGCCCCTCCTTCGATACTTCTCCCTCGGCACTTCTTCTCGGCACTCCTCCTCGGCACTCCTCGGCACTCCTCGGTACTCTTCGGCACTCCTCAGCAGTCCTTGGCATTCCTCGGCGCTCCTCGGCACTCCTCAGCAATCGTCGTCGTGATCGTCGTCGTCGTCGTCGGTCGTCGTCAACCAGTCGTCGTCGCCGCAGCCGCCGCCGGCGTCGTCGTCGTCGTCGTCGGTCGTCGACCCTCCTCCCCACCCATTCCCAGGCGTCGCCGCTGGGCGTGCCACTCGCAACCCCCCGTCAACATTCACCATTGCAAGCTCTTGGCGTTTCGCGTGCCCCCGTCGTGGCCTCCCGTGGCTTCCACTTGCCGTCCCATCGTGGCCCCCGATCGTGACCCCCCGTCGTGGCCCCTACCAAGATTATATACAAGCTGTTTAGGGTGTTCTGCCGCAAAGGTGCCAGATGAAATCCGTATCTTTTGGGGAATCACGATCGTGTCAAGCGGCACGAGGAAGGTGAAGAGGAGGGGGGAGAAGGCAAGAAAGGAGGAAGGAAGGAGCGGACGATGACAAGGAGGATGAGAAGTCGAGCTTTTGCGATATGTTGTTGTGGACGGTTCTTGGAGGGCTCCAAAGACATCCTCGCAATTCTGGGTTCCGGCATGCCCTGAAGTGAGATGGTCCAGCCACTTCCGCCTGAGACATCTTCGCAACTCTGACCTGAGAGATGCCCTGCCCCATGGTGGCCCGGCCACTTTCGCCTGAGACATCCTCGCAACTCTGGGTTCCGGGATGCGCTGAAGTGAGATGGTCTGGCCACTTCCGCCTGAGACATCTTCGCAACTCTGACCTGAGAGATGCCATGCGCCATGGTGGTCCGGCCACTTTCGCCTGAGACATCCTCGCAACTCTGGGTTCCGGGAGGCCCTGAGCTCGGGTGGTCAGGCCACTTTCGCCTGAGACATCCTCGCAACTCTGGATTCATGCATTCCCTGAGCCCAGGTGGTCCAGCCACCGCTGGCTGAAACATCCTCCGATTCTGACCTAAGAAATGCCCCTGTTATGGCCACTTTCGCCCGAGTCATCCTCGCAATTCTTGTTTCCGAGATTCCCTGAGCTGAGGTGGTCAGGCCACTTTCGCCTGAGACATCCTCGCGCCTCTGACATCGGAGATGCCTTGCCCCATGGTGGTTCGCCCAATTTCGCTTGAGACATCCTGGCAAATTTGTGATCCGAGATGTCCTGAGCCACAGGCGCGCCTCTGACATCCGAGATGCCCTGAGCCACAGCCATCTGGCCTTACACATTGTGCCAAGCACAGCCACATGGAAAAAAACATGGTGAAAAACAAGTGAATCTATACGCACATATCTGTTCCACAGGCGCATTTGATTGTATTAACGCACGCACGTACAGAACACATAGTCGGCGCGGCTTGGGGAGGAGACTCCGGGAGAAAGAGTCGGGGAAAGGGGAGGAGAGTCGGGGAGGAGAGTCGGGAAGGCGAGTCGGGGAGGAGAGTCGGGGACGAGTCTCGGGGACGAGAATCGGGGAAGGGACTCGGGGACTCGGGGACGAGACTCGGGGAGGGGACTCAGGGATGAGATTCGGGGACGAGACTCGGGGACGAGACTCGGGGACGAGACACGGGGAGGAGACTCGGAGACGTGACTCGGGGACGAGACTCGGGGGCGACTCGGGGACGCGATGAAAGACGCGACTCGGGGGCGAGACTCGGGGTCGAGACTCGGGGACGAGACTCGGGGACGAGACTCATGGACGAGACTCATGGACGAGACTCGGGGACGAGACTCGGGAACGAGACTCGGGGAGGAGAGTCCGGGGGGGAAGCCGGAGAAGAGAGCCGGGGAGGAGAGCCGGGGAGGAGACTCGGGGGCGAGACTCGGGATCGAGACTCGGGGAGGAGTCTCGGGGACGAGATTCGGGTATGAGACTCGGGGAGGGGACTAGGGGACGAGACTCGGGAACGAAACTCGGGGACGAGACTCGGGGACGAGACTCGGGGACGAGACTCGGGGACGAGACTCGGGGACGAGATTTGGGAACGAAACTCGAGGGCGTGACTCGGGGGCGAGACTCGGGGACGAGACTCGGGGACGAGACTCGGGGAGGGGACTGGGGGACGAGACTCGGGAACGAAACTCGGGGGCGAGACTCGGGGACGTGACTCGGGGAAGAGACTGAGGGAGGAGACTCGGGGAGGAGACTCGGGGAGGAGACTCTCGGGCTGTCCTCTCGGGCTCTCCGCGGGGCGCGGCGCGCCCGAAACCCTTCCATCACCATCCAAATGTTTCTGGGATCGTGAATTCACAGTCTTCCGGGTTTTCACTCGTCGGGCCCTGGGGGGCGATACGCCTTCGACACTGCGCTAGCGTGTCCGGCATACACTGTTTCAATACTTTTCTGGGTGCTCGAAATTAGTCGTTAAACGTGGTCCTTGAGCACGATGGGAACAACAAAACAGGGCAAGGACAGTAGGGGTCCACACAGTCAAGCGACTGCAAAACGGAGCGTTCAACAAGGAACGAAAGCTTTTTGCTGACACCGAAACAATCTGGGTGCACGAGGAGGGCTAGAGGGACAACCACGGAACGACCTAGGGAACAGCGAGCCGCTTCCGAACCCAAAGCGGTCCCTTTGTCAGCGTCTTGACTGTAGGGGGGAAACATGAACCTGGAATCGCCGATGCACCGCTGATCCATCGGCGATGGGCCCCCGATGGCGAATCCGCATGGCCCTGGGCGAAGTGCGGCTATCGGGCCCCTCTTGGCGGTGAGTGGGCGATTGCGAGCCGGTGGGTCCCCACCCAGCAGCCCAGTCCCCCCCCCCCGATCGTTGCCCCTGACAGCCTCGGGCCAGGCCGGGCGCGCGCCGGTGGTGGCAGCCCTGCCGCGGGCGTGGCGGGCACGGCGGTCCAGCTGCTGTCCTGGGCGGCGAGATCCGGGACCCGCCCCCGCCGGCCCGCGGTTCTCCTGGGAGGCGGGGCAGGCCCTGAGGTCCGACGT